GGCGATCGGATGCCTGATGTGGACGAAGCTGACGAGGCCAGACATCGCCCTGCCTCTGAACAAGCTCCAGAAGATCGCCCACTCACCCACCGGGAGGATATGGAACGCGCTTGTGCGGATCATGTCCTACCTGAACTTCACGAAGGACTTCGGCATCACCTACGTACGGGGGTCAGGACAAGACCTAAGCGTGTTTGTCGATGCCAGCTACGCTGACAAAGAAGTAGACAGGCGTTCTACGACCGGGCTAGCTGTGACCGTAGGTGGTACCGTAGTGTGTGCATCCACCAAGACGCAGCCAGTGACGGCTCAGTCGACCTCGGAAGCAGAGTATATGGCAGCCGGGGAGGGCGTGAAGCAGGCGTTGATTGTGCGTGGCGTTGTGTCGTTCATAGCGCCCGAGACGAGTGGGGCGAAGATCAAGGCCCTTGAGGGCAACAAGAGGGCTCTCACCTAATGGAGAACCCGTTCAGCTCAGCGAGGAGCAAGCACATCCACGTGCGGTCCCATTTCATTCGCGAGCTATTCAAGTCGGGCAAGATCACTGCAGAGTATGTTCCGACTGGAGAACAGCACGCCGACATGCTGACCAAGGTCTTTGGCAGAGAGAAGTTGGAATACCACCGGAAGGCTCTGATGAACCTACCGATGTAGTGTTCTCTTGTTCTGTTTGCTTTATGTGGTGGTTTTTGCACGTGGGATATATGACCATGGTGCGTCACGCAGGAAGCGTTGTGCCGGCGCGTCACCCGCGGCTGGAGCCTAGAAACGCCGAGAGCGTTGCTTCGGGTGTGTAATCAGCGTGACCGGCTCAATCTGTCCTGCCTTGGTCTTGTCTTGGAAGTGCAGCCGTTGGAATCCTCCGTGATAGCGACGATTTTCTATATTTTAGGGTGTTAGACGAGGGTTTTTGATCCGGTTGGCCGGGTTTTCCCTCGAGCCTGTTGTTGTTTTGAGTCCCTTTGGTAGATCAGGGGTATCCATGCCCCACGTTAGGTTTGCCATTCGCGTGCAAACCGGGGAGGGTGTTCGTGTGTTTGGATACGGACTGGTTAGATCTACCGGCAACAACAGAGGGCACGCAGATGGGGCGTATGTACACCTTGAAATGGTTGCATGTGCGGGGACCCCGCGAACTCCAAAGAGGGCTTCACTTCTCCCTACTCCCCTTGCGTGTCTAATACAAGAGATAACACGCCTTCCCCTTCCAAGTAAAGGACATATACGAACACGTTACACTTTCCACCACGGAAGCAGAGTATGTGGCAATTGCCGACGTCTTGAAAGAAGTGTTGTTCTTGAGGCAGGTGTGGCGTTTTATTCTGCCAGATGCGGGTATATCGTGCATCCCGGGGTTCGAGGATAATCAGGGAGCGATTCAGATTGCGCACAACCCGATCACGAACTCCAACTCGAACCACATCAATGTACGGCATCACCCTATCAGGGAGCTGGTAGAGAGGAAGGAGATTTCAGTTACTCATGTGCCGAAGCAATTTCAACATGCAGATTTCTCGGTTGTTTTGGAGGAGTTTTGGTTGTGTTGGGATTTTTCTTGTGATTGTCTTGGAGGAGTTTTTCTTGTTTTGGAGATGAGGGTAATATTGACATTTTGCCGGAGCATGACGATGCATACGAGCAGGGGGGCTATTAGATATACTCGTAGCATAGCATGATAGGTGATATCTTTCGTATACACGTACTGAAATTGCAGTGACGAGTGCGGAGGAATAGGAAGTTTATTCATATGTTCCTTGGGAGTGTGATGGAATGGTGGAGAATCATGGAGATTTGTTAGTTACTTTGAGCGTGATGAGCGTGAACCGTGACTTCATGCCGTGACCGATTGACGAGCTGAAGCACGCCCCCAATGAATACAACACGTTTTCCCATACGTCCCTACCCTACCACGGCCCGTCATGGCCCAGCTGCTCTACACTCCCGACACACAGAACTGAGCCACCCGAATTATCGATCAACTTGGACTTCAGTGCCAAGTTCTTTCTTGCACAAGGCTCATTAGCTCACTCTGTCGCTAAAAATGACTTGGACATTCGAACCCAGCTTTTTCTCGAACACCGCCGGCATTTCCAACACAGCTCACGTCACCGTAGAAAACGAAAAAAAAGTCGTGTACATCGCCGCTTGAGTCTCGGGAATCGTACTTCCGCGTACTGAATACCATGACAATGCGGGTCACGTCCGTGACCTGGCGATATTTTGGGGGATGACATACAGACACTTACGGTAGTCCTTCACTACAGACATCAATGATGTCGGATGCGCCATATCGAATACAGTGTGTACCCGCGAAGCGTGCGCCTGAAACACAAATAGCACGTGCTGTGGCGGGAACGGTCTTTCGTCCGCATCCTTAAACTCGTGCGGCGCTTCGACACCACAATAATGGGGGACAACTCTTGTCTTTAACTCTTGGTCAATCTTGCCGTGGTTGTGGGCTTTCATCGGAATGAAGTCCCTGTCGTAGAGAACCACATTCTTACCCAAAAATTGTAGACTATCTCACAACTAAATTTGTATACCAACTGACAAACTAGACTAAAAGTGTAACCAATCTCACAAATTATAAGGATCAGCTCCAGAATAGACAACTGAATACCGTATCGGCACGTCAAAAAAACGACTAAATCTAGGATCTAGTTTCCAGCAAAACCATAAGACAAGATACGATGCATGCGATCGCGAGAAATCGGTCACACCGCCATCACCACTGCATACGCCCATAAAATCACCCCGGCCCACGTGAAACAAAACCCATGCAAGGGTACAACAAGCTCTAAAAGTGAACATGTCCTCGCCCGAGATCGCCGTGAAATTCGTTCGGCTGTGGACACGGAGGCCTAGGCTCCTTCGCCCATTTTCGGGCGGCTCAAGAAGGTTCCAGCTTTGCTGGCGGGTACCTTCGATAAGCTGGGCAACAATGCATAACTCGTCGTGCACAGCAGGATAGAATTTTTTTTTCGTGTAACATTTTCGCCCGACAATCACGGCAGGCTTGAACGTTTCTATCATAGCACAAGGAAAAGCAACTGTTTTACCCCGTGTCGGTCTCCCACGAAACAACTCTACCGAAATTCCTACACACCAGAAGTTTTTGTTGGCGGCGACTTGCTTTGTTTCCTTTCGGGAGTGTCGTGAAAAAGAGAAGAGGCCCATCGTTTTTGCCGAAGCCCCACGTTCATCATTTCTTAATGAAACGGTATCCCAAGTGGCGCATGAAGGCACCATAGTGCAGGCGCACCATCTCCACCTGTCGGAAAATCAGGCGTGCGTGCAACACAAGGAACAAGGTGAGCAACATCGTCGCCCTTACATATTAATATAACCGACTCCGTAGAAACACACCGCATATACGCAAAGGAAAGGAACGGGTGCCAATACCAACATGTCTCCAAACCCTTCGGAAAAAGCACAGCCCCGCTAAAGGGGATCACATTTCGTGTCTTCGACCTCCTAAACAACCATCCGGGAGGTTGTCTTGTGATTCGTTCTTGCCGCTTGGCATGCGTGTCGACGGGAGGAACCCGCCCCCCCCCCGTCGCCTGCGTCCCAAAAAACCAACGGGGGGTCGTCATCACTTGTGGTCTCTTCTGCGGGTCCCCTCCCTGCGAATGATGTCGGGGTCCATTTGTTCGTTGAGTTTTCTCACCTCTGCAAGGCTCATCAGCCTGACGCCGGCCCCGCACTTGTCCTCGAAAGCTCTCTTGGGGCCGAACAACCTGCCGCCGTCAGGGTTCGTTACCGTACGTTCCACCCCGAGGGAAGGAAGGACAAATTTACACGGCGCGACGCACACGTGGGTATTGGTGGGCCACGCGGGGGACACAGTCCACCAACCAACGGTATGCCAGAAGGACTAAAGCGCGTGCCGTCTCCACCCTAGGCAGTCTGGACGTACACCATTGACTGGCCACCTTAGGAATGCTACTGCTGCACCTCCTGCCTCGCCCCGGGGTGCGGTAACATCAAAAATGCAGAAGAAGTAGCATGAAGAGTGCTAAAAGCTAGATGCAGTCTGTTTGTCGATTCATCCATGACCGTGCCACCACGCATTTCAATGGTTTGGCTTTCAAGAACAACGCGCTACGGCTGGTTCTCGAGTTTGAACGCTTTCGTGCCAAGGTCTTCCCCTGACCCCTTGAGCGAATCGCAGCATGTCATCCCGAAGGCAACTCCGTTGAAGGCCGTGTCCATAGTGCTGAGTCAGCTGGGCAGCAAACCTGGCGTGTGGTAGTTGGGAACGTGGGTGCTACAGTTTGACCAGCACCATTCACACACGCAAGGAACCGTGCACTTGCCTCATCGCCTTGGCAATCGAGTCCTCGGACCAATTCCACCCACCGGGTAAAGCGTGAAGTATTCTCCTGCAAAGCGACGGGGAGGGAACACACCCGAGCAAAGGCAGGACCACTGACCGCAAGCGAATATCGACACCTCAGCAGCTAAGACAGAGGAACTGCTGCGACTAAATCCAGTGAAGGTTTAACATTCCAAGAGGAACTCCCCCGAAATTTCGTCTTCGGCTGTGCGTATTTAGCAGCCGAAATCAAACCATCGGCCTAGTCGGCGCTGGCTAGTCTAATCGTTTGATTTCGGCTTCGACATAGGTTAGATGTGGGTGCGAGACCCAGGCTAGACACTCTGAGGTGGTTTTTCACTGAGACCCTGGATACTCCCGGCCAAAGTATCGGTGACGGAAGGACTCGTCTGAGACCCTAGAACATTCTGCAGGATGTGGGTGGCGAGATATATGAAGCAAAATAAACAGTGGACGGACATTAGCGCTGGCAATGGAAATCAACCTCGTCGGACGCGAAAGTGCCGAACCCCAAACAAATTGTTTAGAAGCCGAACTCAAACCATTAGACTAGCCAGCGCTGATTAGTCTAACGGATTGACTTTGGTTTCAATGGGGAATGACTTTCCCAGCAGCAACAAGTGCAATCACAGCTGTCCGACTCATGTCAGCGGCCAACCAACAAAAATGGCAACGAAAACCAAAAAATAACAACCAAAGCAGCAGGAACGTAAGCAGGCGTAGAATCACATACCTGAGAACTTCTTCGGCCCTGAGCAGCATGTCCTCATACCGGAATACGTAAATGGGGATGTCGCCGGCCGCCGCCACCCAATGGGACAGGTGCCCCTGCCACAGCGGCAAGTACTCCCTCACAACGATAGACTTGTGGTACATATACCTTGGAACCGCATATGAGACGGACACGAGGGGGGCCTGTTTCGACTTATCCCTTTGCGGCATCTACGAACTCAGGCTTCAGCCACGGCGGCGCAGCCCCACATCATTCACATTCATTCGCAGAGTACACTTGTGTACCCTGACGAGCCTACTCTGACAACGAGGTCGTTCTGAGAAATGACGACGAAAGGTCGCGTTGTGGCCGGTGCAGGGCTAATCCACCCGTCCTCTCCACCGTCCCCCACCTTTCAATCCATGCTCGCCTCAAGCCGAAATAACCCGGCCCCTATATTTCCCTGAGGCTCGCATTTGAACTCATCGCGTAAACGATGATGACTACCCTAAAGTTCGCGTTTCAACCCGTTGCATAACGATGATGACCGACCTCTACACTAGCGAACACCTCCTGCCCGCCGCAACCGTGCACGCTAAAGCTGTACACTCTCACTTGTGTGCGCCGCGCGCGCGTGTGCACGCCGAGCAACCACCCCCGCCTCATCCGTTTCCATGGTACCTCTAGATTGAAGCTGCTACGCGCATTGCTCTGCCAGACGTCTTGAATAGGAGTAAGACCGTACATGGGCACGCCTTCTCACCCTCCCAAAGAATGAAGCATTCAGGGATGCATCATATTAGCGGTAGAGGTCAGAACACGGGTTCTACACAAAGACGACAACAACACGCGGCAACACCAAACAAAATAGGAAACAACGGCGATGAGTGTGCCATGCGTACCTCTGCCAGGCGTCGTGGTTGTCGATCGGGTTTCTCACGAGAAGGACGAGCATGCACGTCTCCTCGGGCATGAGGCTGGGCTTGTTGTACGACGGGAAGAAGGGAGTGTGGCTCTTGTACAAGATGGGAGACGTCGCGTTCGGCGGCCTGACGTTTGATCACGCGAGCACATCGCAACAAACCCAAGGTGTGGGTGGGTGGCGGGGGCTATAAGAGGGGTAGTTGGGGTCACGAGGGGACGGGGGGGGAGTGTACTCAGTCGTGCATGCCGTCGTCGTTAGACCATTGACCTCGCATCCCTACAAAGCCGGGACGGAGCACGCCGGGTTCTCACCGGACCAGGCTCTCACATCACCAAGCGCGAAGCGCCGTGAGATATTCGGCGAGTCGCATGAAGGGTGCGCTGCATCCTGCTAAGGGTTTTCGGCATCTTGTGCTTACTTCCTTGCGTACGGATGACAGCTGCGTATGACTTAATTTACTTTCTGGTGCTTTCACTTCCAGAGACAGTTGTAAGCACTGTGTAACTGCCTCGAGGGTGCTTGACCATTTTAACACAACGTGGTGCGATCATCCCCCTTGCGCGGAGTGAGGGTTCTCCACCCCGCACAACATGATCTACTCGACCACCATTATGGTTACCGCCAAAAAAAAAAACGGAGGAAAAAAAAAAAACGGTAACCTGGTTGCCGAGTTCACGAAGTGAATTGGCTTGTTTTACAACGTCGTTGCCAAGCGACGAAAACCCAATCCCGATGGCAAACACCGGGGGGGGCGGCTTGTTTTACAACGTCGTTGCCAAGCGACGAAAACCCAACCCCGACGGCAACCACCGGGCGGGGGAAGAGCGCTAAAATCCATGCGAGGGATATCATTGGGACCGAGAGGTGGTGGCGCAACCTCAAAACACGCGAAGAGAGGGGGGGGTATCAACGCGCGGAGATTCCGGTTGTTCTACCAGGGACTTGATCAGGACCAGCGAGGACACGGTGCGGTTGGTGTCAGCGGGCTCTTTTCGACTCCAGCGGAGAGGAGCATGAATGAGGCATCCGCGACAGACGCAAGAAAACTCGTAGGGAAACACCAGCATAGGGGGCGGGTGGGCAGGAGAAACAGGGTCCACAAACAAAAGGGAGAAGGAGCACAGAAGAGAGGTGGCGGTACCGAACGCGCGCGGCTAACCTCGAACCGCGGGGGCAGAATGGGGCTGCGTGCAAACGCCAGCAGAAGAGTTTATAAACGAATAGAGCGAAACACAGCAATAACGACGACGATAGCAGTTTCGCTCACCTGAGATCCCTGCAGGCAAACTTCTTCATTGATTGCAGGCGACCCTCCATGTGGTCCAAGCTAGCACCGCAGGGGTCATCCGAAGAAAAAGCTCGGTAGTTTTCCTTGAAAGTCCCTCCCTCTACCGAACCCATAGAAAATCCGGAAACACACGCGGGATGGACGGGGGGATAGCAACTCAAAGAGGCATTTGCCTGGAAGCAGCCCTCGACTTCACGACGCTATCCAAACGCAGACGCGACAACCTGAACATAAATAAGGCCCGGGGCTACGAAGGGCTCCGTGCCTAGCCTTGCCGTTGAAGAAACCGCGGAGACGCACGCCGTGTGACTAATGTTTCAAGGTCGAAAACCGAGAGAGGTACCGCCGTCAGGAGACCTGACGTCACGCTGAGGCAGGGTCCAACGAAAGAGGGTCTGCTCACTCCGGACCCTCGTGAGAAAGCACCAAGCGAGCAAATTACCACACGCGCCAGAGGTAATACGAGTAATCAACCGGTTGCGCGGGACGGCGGCAAGAAAACCGCCGCAAAAATAAACAATCAGGTGGCTACTCCACACGAGGCGTTACACGGCAACGCCTCCATCTCGAGAAGCGGGGCGCCGACGAAAAACACATAGGCGGGAGCGCGGGACATTGCGAAAAGCGGACGTCGACGACGCTGCGACAAAGCCTAGAAAGGCGGGCCGTTCACCACTTGTCCCGCTACACCGGCCGGAGCACGGTAGCCTCCGTCGTACCTTGCCACATGGAGAACGAGGGCTGCGAGGTGGCCGTCTCGAACATTGCCCTGAACCACGTGCTGCCCGTGCGGGGGACGGACGGCATGTGCACTCGGCAGTAGCCCAGCTTCTTGACTCGCTCGTCTGCCTTCTTCGAGCCGTACTTAAACCTTTTCTCGAGACCACGCACAAAAAAGCGAATCGGCCTAAAAGTCAAACCAAGGGACATCATTCTGGCGCAAAAGGAAGCGGAAGGTTTCGCTAGATCGGCCGCCGGACGCAGCACTTGGTGACCAGCATCGGAACACCATATCACGCGAGTACATTTAGTTGTTGCCCATACATTGCCACCGCGGCACCTAGACGAACCTGAGCTGCAGCCAGAGCCGAAGCGCAAATCCTTTCCACATTCTAGACAACCCCCCAAACCTCTATTTACACATGCCAACGTCGAGATACCATCACCGATGGCAACGAGGGGTCAGCGCGACAATCAGGCCCCTGAACGGTCATGTCGGAAAGCAACTGTGGCCTTCAAAAGTAACATGCGAGCGTACCTCAACCAAATCCCGAAACAAATCCGTGCTCCTGCCCCTACAGCCAGTCTTCCTCCAACCGAAGCGTGTTCAATCTTTATGGATCCAAGACAGTGGGCAGACACATACCACACACGCCGTCAATCAGCTCCGGCGCATTCACAACAGGTGCCATCATTCGCTACCACGACATGCTGCCGTTCCAACGACAAAAGTTTCATCGTCGGGGTCGGAAGCCGACCGGGGAGCTTTGGACCATGCTCGTCAACACACACCAACACGATTGTCTACGGGAACGCCGTCACCCACCACGTTCATGACCACCCCTAACACGGTTACCACGACCACCGGTGAATCTTCGCCCACATCCGTGGGATTCTTCGGCCGCTTCATTTCCCCGCTGATGCGTAGAATGTAATTCACCGGGAATTCGAACCTACATCCAACCCTTGCCCGCCTCCCCATCTTTCCCACTAGTAACATCACCAGCGGCGGGAGAATCCACCGGCCCACCTGCTATCGAAGTTGTGGAGCCCTAGCCACTCTGCGTCCTGGTTTTCCGTCATCTCCAGCTCCCACTTGGCTTGTGGATTCGGGGGGACCCGTTTGAGGAACTCGTCATAACCCAGTTGATTTTTCTGCGTCAAAGACGAGAGCAAAAGTAGACGCCCACACGACGAGGCGCGCGGCGTAGTGAGCGTCGTTTGGCATATGCTTGGGCTGTCATGCTTCTGCGCTTGTCGTTGCTTGGCCCGCAGCTAGGAAAGCAGAGGACGACAACGCCAAACCAAGAAAAGGCGGTCAAGAGCACTACATGGAATGCGGTAAAACAAGCTGGAGGACGATGTAAAACCGATCTTGGAGGAATCATTATTTGCTACTCCATGTAACGTCAGAACAAGACTTTGAGGGAGAAATTTACCCCTTTCGGGTGCGATTTGTTTGTTCTCAACCAGAACAGCACGTGGTCAAGAGCACCAGTGGTTGTCTCGGCGCTTGACTCTGGTTGTTGCGCAAGTTAGCGTTAGGTTTGGGGCGCACAGATCGTAATGTCTCGACAAGAGGCGATAGTTCCAAAGACTACAAACGATGATTCGTCGTAAGTTTGCGACGCTGAGAACAGCGGCAGGCGCAAGCGACAAGTAAGTAGTAGCAAAGACGACACGCTGACATGAATGTACTACCCCCTTGTCCTCCGGGCGCTCCTTGACGTCCAATTTCTCAATGTTAGGAGCAAGGGAACCAGAGCGAAAGCAATGCTTTTCAAAATCGTGGTATGGTTAGCGCTGCGAAGAGAATCGCGATGCGGAGAATGCGGGCGAGAAAGTGTGTCCAAGGGAACCGGCGTAGACAACGCGATGGGTGAACGTATCAACACAATGCAGCGACCTGTGCTCGCGGACGTTGTCGTGCCGAGGGAGCGGCGCGCACAAACACGGAGAAAAAAACGGAGAGAAGGTCGTCGTTGTGGTAGGAATGGCGATGCCCACCTAATGAAAGACCTACTGGTTACCCAAGCCAGTAGCAAAACAACTTTACTACAGCATACACAAGAGTCGCGTCTCCTGCTGCTGTTCGCCCTACATTTCGTTCTTGTGGACGTGGTGCTTGTAGCCATCTCATAACCAAAACTGAGTGAGATTACTGCCACCCGCAGGATCCGGCTACCGCACGCTCCTTCTTTTGCTCGTAGCACACGACCGCGTCAACCCACGTTCTTATGTTGAGCCAGCTCTGCCTCCTCGTACGCCCGGCAAGTCCTCCACTCCTCGCCCTCCCCGCTGTCTTTCTCGAACCCTATCATGTTCAGCTCTCGAAAAGTTGGCCGGCTGGCTCCCATACCCCCAGCGCCGCCATGCCGCCGCCGAGTATCCGCAGGTGCCTCTCCCACATTTACTACAGGGGCGGTAGTGGATCCATCGAGGTGTCCCTGCCGCACGACGATGAACGAAATGTACAGGCCCCACACCCAGAGCATCACTGCGGCCAGCTTTACCCCGGAGGACAAAGGACCGGTGCGACCTGGGTGGGACGAGTGCTGCGCTCCTTCCTCCTGCTGCTGTAGCCCTGCATCCCTCGCTCTGGCTTCCTCGTCGACAGCTCTGGCACGCCGCATGGCTGCTCTCGCGACAGCAGGCAATGCTTGCACGGCAGTGTGGCGGCGAAACTAAGCAACAGTCCGAGACAGAAAACAGAGCTAAAATCACCGACAAGATTCGCCCCAACAGGAAGCGCTGTGTCGCCGTTGCGCGATTCTTCTGCTTCTGCTCTCACTGCTGTTGCTGGTACTCTTTCGCCGAGAGCGTAGTGAATCTCCAGCAGCCAGTTCCAGGAGCACGGGCGTGGGGTACGGTGTAGAGAAGGAGGAACGAGAGGCACTCGAAAAAAAGGTTTCCACAAGTTCGCGCGGCCTATTTGGCAGCCGCGCTACGAACCCAGCGTGGGGATTGGGAAGTTACGCCTACATGTAGCATTGACAGAATGCAGAGCAGGATTGAGTTCTCTGGATTGGCCACGTAGAGAAGATCTGGCCGGCTGCATGCCAGATATTGTACTGGAGATTATGCCGGTGTGTATAAATGTGCGTCGAGGTGCCTCTCCTGCTGACAAAATTTACCCACCGGGCCTTTGACAAGGGGTTCAAAATGGGAACCTTCAATGAGAACCTGGAACCTGGAAGCTCGACGTAGCTTTGTAGGAGTGCAGCGGTAGGATCGTGGATCCTTCTCGCTTTTCCGCTCCTCTGCCCACGCTCTATTTCTCTCTGTTCTCTCGGTGTTTCTCTGTTCTATCCCTCATTGTATGTGTGGTGTTGTGAGTGTGTGTACCTCTTCCCACCTATGCATATGAAGCGGAAACCATATGTCGAGATTTGTCAACACAACAGCAGGCAGCAGTACCATCAACACAAGCCCATTGGCCCATCCATCCAGCCAGCCTATCACGCAAGGCTCTCGCCTCGAACTGTACAAACGGTCGACGGTCGGATCGGCGCCAAAGAGGTCGTGGTGGGCCTACTAGCCCGCGACAGAGGATGGAGAGAGAGAGAGAGAGAGAGAGAGAGAGAGAGAGAGAGAGAGAGAGAGAGAGAGAGAGAG